GTTTACCAGAGGAAAATGAGAATGGGGAGAGGTAGGAAAGGGTAAAGGGGGTCAAATATAATGTGCCAGGAGATCTGACTTTGGGTGGTGAACACACAATGCAGTATAAAGAATTGTATACTTGAAAACTACATAATTTTATTAATCAATGTCATCCCAATAAATTAAATAAAAGTGTGTATGTGGTTTTTTTTAATTTTGGAAAGAGTAGAGACCATGCCTGCCATATTTGTAGCTGCAGTCTCTGTGGCTACCATAGACATTCATTGAATGAATATAAAATGAGTGATTTGCAACATGATATTGGAGTATAAATCTATTATATGTAACTTTTTCTGGAGAAATTAATGGTGTGTTTCATTTGAGCTTAGAGAATCCTGTTTATACCAACAAGCCATAACTTTGTTCTAGTTTAAGATAGTGTCATTTTTAATTTTATTCAGTAATTCAGCGATAGTGTATATGCTTAAACAATCATAGCTTCAGCGTGAGGCTCAACTCTGAATTGCCTAAATTAACCCTCCACAATAACCTCTGTGTTGTACTCATGCTAATATTTCTCTAGAGTGTGTTGTCCTCTTTTATACCTGTGTCATTTTGAAATTAAGTGAGAGACCAACAACCTGAGAATGTCTAATGTAATTGTGAGGAAGTCCAATACCTCATAGTCCCTGAAGATTTTCACTGACATCTGAGAATCAAATTTGTTTAGCATCAACCCAATCCTTGTGGGGTTTTATAGATTGCTCTGAATTTTTTAAAGACTTATCAATTATATACTCAAGTTATATTTACATTATGATAAAGATATAGAATTATTATTTCATTGATAATTCTCCTAGTATTGGAAATAGTGCTGATTGGCTGCCAAAGCACATTCTCTACCTGCTTCTCTCTTGCCCACCTTCAAAGAGGAGTCGGGAAAAGTCAGTTACCCACATTTCCAGCTTCCCTTGCAGGAGAGGGTAGCCATGTGACTTGTTCTGGCAGTGAAATGGGAAAGGATATTTTCTTGCCCTAATAAGAGATGGGAGAGGAAGCAAAACAGCCTTGCCTATTCTTTAAAAAAAATTTTTTTAATCCTCACCCGAGGATATTCCTCCATTTATCTTCAGATAGAGTAGGAGGGAGACAGAGAGAGGGACAGAGAGAGAAACATCGATGTGAGAGAGACACATCGACTGGCGGCCTCCTGTATGACCCTGACCAGGGCCAGGGACAAACTGCAATCGAGGTACATGACCTTGAGAGGACTCGAAGCCGAGACTCATTGGTCCATGGGTCAATGCTCCAACTGCTGAGCCAGACTGGCCAGGGCCTTGCCTATTCTTTAAAAAAATTTTTTTTGCTCTTAATCCTCACCCAAGGAAAATTTTTTCCATTGATTTTGAGAGAGAGTAGAAGGTAAGGAAGGGGGAGAGAGAAACAACTATGTGAGAGAGACACATCAGTTGGTTGCCTTCCACACATGGCTATGGGCACCAGGGATCGAATCTGCAACCTGGGTTGCAGATTGCCCTTGCCTGGGAATTGAACCTGAGACCCTTCGGTGCGCTGCTGAGCCACAGCTAGGTGCACCGGCTAGGGCACAGCCTTGCCTGTTCTTGATGCTGTCCTGTTTCCTTTGAATGCAGTTTGATGTTGGAAATTGTGACAGCCATCTTGTGATGATGAAGCAACAAGCCTAAAAATGAGAAGCTAGTATTAAGTATGTCAGAGAAGAAAGGAGAGAGAGAGAGAGAGATCATTGATGACACTGTTGAGTAGCTGATCCAATGTTAGTAACCATCCACCTCCAGACTTCTTGCTCTATACAATAGATAAACCCTTCATTTTCTTAAACCACTGTTACTGAGTATTTAGTTATTAACATCTGAGCACAATCTAACTGATGCACCTAGTTACTTTAACATTTTCTTTGTGGAAACTAAAACAGAACTAAATTATTGACACTTGATCATTTATAGTTATGCTTATTTGTTGGAAAAGTATTGTTTGTTTGTTTGTTTGTTTGTTTTGGAAGAAACCCAGAGAAGAATTATCTTCATTTAAAAGGTTTGGTCATTTTAATTGCAGAAGCACAGAGGGGCCACCTCTAACCACAATGCATGGTACAAGTTCTGAGGAATGTGTATTGCAAATAACTTCTCTATGACTAAATACCATACTGGGAGCTGGGAGGTCTAGGTTCAGATTAGATGTTCGGCTAAATATGTGATTATGAACATATAGTTGTCTCTGACTTCATTTTCTCATCTGCTGTACCATTTGTAGGATGCATTCTTTGAAAGTAACAGAAAACTCAACTCAAAATGGCTTAAACAATAAGGAAATTAATTTCTTTATATGACAGGAAAGTGTCAAAAGTTGGCTAAACAAGAGATTGATAATGTCATTGAAGAAATCTCCACCCTGCTGCCTTTCAGTTCCACCTTCATCTTAGGTCTGACTACCCTCATGACTGCAAGATGTCTAATGGCAGCAATTGAGGTTACATGCCTCTTTATTCAAGGTCAGTGTGGTGCTGGGGGGTTGAGGGGGTGGGGAGAAAGAGTATTTTCCATTCAAGGAAGGGAAAATCCTGAGCTTTGTGATGATTGAAAGACCTGGAATCAATCAAGGCCATTGACCAGGGACTGCCAAGAGCTGATCGAGCTAGGCCATTTATTGTGGCAAGGAGGCTGTATTTATTAGTTTAATTAATCAGGACCCATCTCTCCAGGTGAGATGGTTACAATCCCACCTCAAATCCAGAGCTGCCACCTCATGGTGGAGGGGCAGAGTGGCTCTTGGGGCAGAGTGGCTCATCTGTAAATGATGAGCTGGACTGGCTGACCTCTAAGGCTCTTTCCATATCTAAACAGGTGGTGATTCCATGAGCAGAGTGCAAACCTATCTTTGCAGTGATTCTTTTTATTCAACTCCACTTTTTATTTTTATAATTATCCTTATCTACCTCTGAACATAGGCCTCTGTGGAAAATAACTCCAAAATGAAGTCAACAAGCCTTGGCATAACTCAGAATGGGGCTGGGGAGAGGAAGTGAAGCTGACTAGGTGATTTGTGAGGGTCACTGTGCACTTCAGGGCAGAATGGAATGATGCCCTATTCATTAGGTACCAGGTGGACATACCCACTTGGGGTGAGTGACTTGGAACTGTGGGACCCTCAATGGAGGCGATGTTTCTCAGGCTCTAAAGCTCCCTTCTCTAAAGAATGCACAAGTTCCTTGGGAAAGGAAGAAAACCTTCTCATAAAATTATATTTTCCCTCTGATTTGCATTTCTAAAGGGTTTGGTACTCAAGTCCTTAACACTGGCAAATCTCTGGGCTTCTTGAGGGAGTGGTCAAGGGTTTGCACAAAATGTTTCTGAATAGAAAATAGGCGGTGGATCTCTACCCACCCCATACACTTTGGTAAATACTATCTTTTTTCTTTCTTTCTTTCTTTTTAAATTACCACACTGAGAATTTTACCAAATGATTTCTAGAAGCTGACTTATGAACTAATTGGGCACTTCTGATGTGCAAAGGAACAAAGACTTTTTTTTATTGGTCCTCAACTGAGGCATATACCTGTCTGATGGCGTTGGCTCATTCCGCACATGCTCAGTCGAACAAAAATTTTCATATTGAATACAACCTAGCATAGCGGCAACACCCAGAACCTCACTCCCAGGCTGATACTGTGCACACTCCCTCTAGTATTTTTATCCTGAATTGTCTAACAGTTATTGGGAGTAGCGAGCAGAGTAGGACCTGGGGGATGGGGGCAATATACAAAGGGGCTTAAAGTCTACGTCCCTGCCTTCCTGACGTCTCTCTAGGCTGTCTGTAGCAGCGGGGCAGGTGCTGGATAGATATTTGTTGAGTTTGAGTAGAATGCGGGCGGAGCTGTCTGTATAAATTGCCATTTGTTGTTGCACACCTTCCTGGACAGTTTTTGTTTGGTCTTTACTTGTAGGTGGACGAACACCTTTCCCCAGCCCTAGTTGTCATTAAAGAATGACAGTGGCACTAAAGGCATCCGCCGCCTAGCACGGTCTGGAGTGACAACCTCCCCACCTTTCTTCTAGCTTTCCCATTCATCAGGACTCTTTCCCAGCAAAAACTGGGAAAAGCTTCCTGCGGTTACAAAAGAAGGGTGTGTATGGGGGGGAGCGTTTGGGGTTCCGGGCCTCTCGCTGCAGATAGCCAAAATCGTGCGTCCAGTCGTGGACCTTTTGTCCCCCGGTTCCTTCCGCGGCTTGGTCGCGGAGGTGAGGACCCCAACCAACCCCCACCTAAGCAGCTGCCGCCCGAACACCCCGCGGGCCAACTCCCCACCCCTTCAAGATCCCGGGCGCCCGCCCGTTCGCCGTGACGTGTCCGGCTGCGCGCGCATGCGCCACTCAGCCCCATTCCCTTTCCCTGGGCCACCGCCTCCCGACGGGCTGGAGTGGGCGGTGCCTGAGGGTCTGGAGGCCGCGCGGCTATAGCGGGAGGAGGGCGTGTGTGCGCGAGGCGGATGCGCGAGGCTCAAGAGCTAGTCCCGGGCTCAGGCAGAGGAGGAGGAGGAGCTGAAGACGGCGGCCGCGGCTCCCGCCTGCGCGGAGAGCCAGTCCCGCGAAGCCCCCTCCCACTCCCAGGCGGGCGGCGGCAGCGGGAGGAGGAGGAGGAGGGAACGTCTCTGCCGCCGCCTCCTGGTCCCCAGCGCGGATCTGCCGCCGCCACCTCCCTCAGCGGCAATCCTCCCTCCATGGTCCTGCCGCGGCCCCCCCTGTAGCCAGAGCTGCCCCGCGCCACGCCAGAGCCAGCCTCGGCAGAGGGAGCGGTCGCGACCTCGCGGCCCGCGGGGGGCTGACCAGCCGAGAGCGGGGCGCCGCGCGGTCCCTGAGGATCCACACGCCGGGCAGCGCGGCCCGAGCAGCGCGAGAGGCAGCGGGCGGGCGGGCGGGCGGCGCCGGGCCCGGGCCGCCCTCACTCCCGCGCCCCGGCCCCGCCGCCCGCGCCGGGGTGGTCGCCCGCAGAGGAAGGCGCCGCAGTCTTCGGGCCTCGCAGCCCCACTCGAGCGTCCTCAGCATCGAGGGCTCGTGGGTCCTGAGGGGAGGAGGCGAGCCAGGGGCCGGGCACTGAGCTCTTTGGCGCCCCCACCCCAGTTTTCGGAGCCCTCCACGCTGCGGCCGCTGTCCCCTCCGGACCATGGCCGACGACGACGTGCTGTTCGAAGATGTGTACGAGCTGTGCGAGGTGATCGGCAAGTGAGTCTCCATGCGAGGGAACGGGGTGTGGGAAAATGCATTTCAGTGATGCCCGGGTTCTGCCGCACCCGTACCCGCTCGGAGCCTGACCCCTGCTCTCCATCCCCTCCCCCGCCCTTGTAGTCCTCACCCCAGGGTATTTATAGACGTGTACCTGGATCTGTTGCCTGGCTGGGGTCTGGGGGATTCCCAGCGATCGGTGGAGGCCAACGAGCTGAGGACCGCCACCCCGCGAGGCGTGGAGCCGGTTGAAATCTGCTGTCTGCATTTTATCTGACGGTTGCAAAGGGACGTGTGGCCGTACCGATTTTATACTTGCTTCCTGGGAACAGTTGGGGTTATTGTTACCTTGCGTGTACCGTAGACCATTAACGAAAAGAGCAGCTTGCATTTCTTTTGCTTGGGTGGAGGGAAAGAGAAAGAACGTCCAGGGTTTTTAATTGTGGGGTGTGTGTCTATTGTACAGGATATTAGATAGATGCCTTTGTGTTCACCCCATGCCCGGATTGGAGGGGGTCATTCAAGACGGGATGCATTCAGTTTCAGCAAATTCCTCACCTGGTGTAGACAAACGTGGAAAGAGTTGGGGGGATCGGAATTTTTAATGCCTCGTTATGCAATGACTGTTAAATCAGTGTTCGAGGCTTCCCTCCACTCTTGTTGGGATGGTGGTTAGCGTGGTGGAGCCGTCTGCTTTGAGTCACGGAGCTAGTCTAGAATATAGAATTGACAGTCCAAATGCTCATCCTTTCATCTGTGTTGTATAATTACACTAGGGAAAAACAGGGAATCAGATTAATCACAGTGCTGATTGAGAATTAAATCTGCAGTTCCTCATCTAATTGTCCATTCCTTAAATCTGTTTTGAATAGTTTCCTTTTCATTCTTGTCAAACAGTATTCCAAGTGCACAATCCTGCTAATCTGCTTGTGAGGGAAATGCTGGCGATCTGAAGTTATTTCCTAGTTCAGTGTGTATTCTGTGGCTTTGGAAGTTGAGGAGATAAGATTTAAGAGCAATTTTAGCTTATTTATTGATTGCTAGATAGCTACCATTGAAATATTTTACCTCTTTTTGGAAGTGGTGCTTTATTGTCTATTTTAAGGTCTGCAGTTGGGAAATGAAACCAAGACCTTAGAGCAGTTGGCTCTTTTTCTTTTAAGTTGTCTGCAGTGCTGGATTTCCATTTGTTTAAGTGCTGATAACTCATTTTTTTTTCCTTCCATGTGAAGGTATTACAGTGTTTCCTCACATAATGATTGTGGGTAGAGCTTGCTACATACTTTCCTCAGACTCAATTGATAAGACGACATGTTACTCCTTGCCCCTATTGTTTGTTACATGACCAGCCTGTCTACTAGAAGCTCCAAATATGCCCCTGCTGAAGTGATTGTGGAATTGCTCTAGAGCAGCACTGTCCAAAAGATAAAGAATTCAAGCCATATATGTAATTTTACATATGTAAATTTACATGTGTACATTTTCCAGTAGCCACATTTAAAAGATTAAAAAGAAATAAGTGCAATTAATTTTAATAAAATATTTTCTTTAACCCCATAGATCCACACTTAATCATTTCAACATGTAATCAGTATAGAAATTATTAATGAGATATTTTACAGCCTTTCTTTCATACTGTCTTTGAAATCCAATATGTATTTTACACTAACACATCTCAATTCTGACACTAAGCTACATTTTCAGAGGAAATACTTGATCTGTTTTTAGGTTTCATAAAATTTGCATTTGCAAAAGTAGATTCACGTACCCAAGTTGTTCCAGCGTAGGTAAAAGTTTTCCAATAATGGAATCACATATCTCTTTCTAAATTTAAATTTAAAATAAATTGAAACTAAATAAAATTCAAAATTCAGTTTCTCTGTTGGACTAGCCACATTTAAAGTGCCCAATAGCCCTGTGTGAATAGCACAATTTTAGAGAGGCAAATATGTAAAAAGAAATCCCTTTGGTTTCTTCATTCTTAACACCTAGTAAAGGTGAATTAGGTGTTTCCCCAAAACCCCAAAATGATTGTATATGTGTGTGAGTGAATGATGTTTGTTATGTCTTAGTTATACTTTATTTAAATGAGCCAACCGAGTCATAATTGGAAACTGTGAGATTAAAATGTTAATTATATTGTAATGACAGAATATAGCCATCATTGAATCAATGTTAGTTACTAGTTCTGATTCCTTAAGGTCTGGAAGAGTGGTGATATCACTCTTTGGATAGTGAAAAGAAGTGATCAGCATCACATTAGCACAATCAATATTCTGCTGACTTACAATTGATAGACTATTTTCAGGAAACACTTCTGATAGGACTAAATTCATCTCTTGTGTTGCTTCAGAGCTGCATAAAGGAGGAAGGAAAGCAAGCTAATTTTGAAGTTATAGGTACTCTGTGGCTACCTTAACTATTTGAATGTGAAATCTCATTCAGATCCTACAAAATCTGACTTCGTCAGTACTATTGATGTCATTCCATGAAATAATGAATTCACAGTAGCCTTCTTGGTAAAGAATGTAATGATAGTGTTCCTTGTACTGTGAAGATTTTTGCCATAAATGTCTCAGCATATATTGATCTGGAAATTGAAATTCACTTGAGATTTTCTTGCAGGGACCTTGCCAGCATATATTTTATCTTAGAATTTATTCAACTTTAGATTTAAACAGAAAGGTCTGAAGATGTTCATTTGTACTGAAAAGCTTTTTGTTGATTTCTATCCAAGCTCTCTGGAATTATGATTTTCTTTTATGCCAAATTAGTATCACAAGTTGGTTTTGACCCCTAGGTCTTAATAGGTATGAATTTTCACCAGGGTACTTTAAAATAGATTTCACTTTTCAAGATTAGCTGACCACCCACTCACTCCCCTACCTCACCACTCTCATCCACTGTCTTCAAAGGAATCATGTGCCTGATTCCTTATAAATATTGAAAATATGCTATCTCTTTTTTAAATTTTAAACTCTTTCCCCATGTTTCTTATTTTTGAAAGTCTTACAAAAGCTCCTTTGAATGCCTATTGTTTCCATAACATTTCCTGTCTAACACCCTTCAAAGCAACTGAAATCTCCAAGATGGGACCTTATCATAGTCCCAAAACTTGGTCTTAGCAAATGTAGCAATCACTGAAAAGGAAAGGTATTATGCAAATATAGGTAATAGGCTAATTCTTTTCATGGCCATTTACTGTATCTTTTGCAGTTTATAGTTTTATTGGTAAGTGTAAAATCAGTAATATTTTTACATATTAATTACATAATATTTTTACAAAATCAGGAAAAACAGATCAGGAAATTGTAAAATGATTCATCCGAATTAAAACATAGAAATGACTCCCTTCATAGTACAGCAGTTTCTGTGAAAGAGAATAGCAAAATGCACACTGTTTCATCTTGTGTAAACTGAATATTTGCCTGGGTATTCAGTAACTTGTTACTTCTTACTTTCCTGCTTTGGTAGGACACATACTAAAATTGGAATGCTGCACCGTGACCCTGACTCAAGGATGACATGTAAGGCATGCTGTATTTGTGAAGCATGCTGTATTTGCTTACACCTCAAGACTGCTTATCATATTTAATTACAGTTACTTATTTATGGGTCTCTCTACCTAGCTAATAGGGAGCTTCTTGAGGGCAGGGGACATATCTTGCACATCTTTCTCCGTTACTTAAAACAGTGCCTGGAATGTAACAGTCATTAATTTATTAGCTATGGAATGAATTTAGTAGTTTTAATAAAATCTCATTAAAAGGCAAAAAGCCTATTTATCAACCTCAGAGTGATTATTGTCAGAAAAGGCTGTATTAGTTTAAAGTAGTGGTTCTCCACCTGGCTGCATATTGGAATTACCAGGGGAACTTTTTAGAAAGATCAATGGCCATGTCCCTATGTCAGAGCAATGAAATCAGAATCTCTGGGAATGGGTCCTGGTCATTAATAATTTTTTAAAAGTTCTCTAAATGATTCCAATGTGCAGCTACAACTGAGAGTCATTGGTTTGTGTATGAAATATTTCAGGATGGGCTTTTCAGAGGCTTACAGTTTTTAAAAGGTGGAATGAACGTTTTTGGAGGAGGTGTTGAAGCCAAAAGAACAAAACATGAGTTTTATTTTCTCTACTCTGTGTTTTTGAGCCTTGTTATGTTAAGAATTTTGTTTTAGCCTATGTTTGACTTTAATTCCTCGGGTCTTTTAAGATTCACATTGATTCATGACACTCATCTAATGATAGCATGGTGATTATCTGATGTTTGGAACAGCACAGAACAAGAATTGCTTCAATAACAGTTGATGATGGCTACACACTAGAATGACTCAATTCAATATTAATAAATGTATCTGTTTAGTATGGATTGTGTTTGCACATACACTCACTTAAGAGTATGGTTAAGTTGCTTATATACTTTAAAGCCCATACTTATGGTTCCAATAATGCTATTTACCAGAGAATTGAGTTAAATGCAACCGCTGTGTAAATACTGGATTGATAATATGTAAATATGTAATTTAACATAGAGAAAAATTCAGCTTTACTATTTGTACTAATTACTAAGGCTTTCGTATATATTAGTTGGCCCACTGATTTGGTTTTCTAGTACCAAATTTTATAGTACCAGGGGAGGATATTACATTATGTTGGAACATCTTTTCTGGAAATTTTATTTAAACATTATAATTAAACTAGGTTTTTTAATGTTTTCATTGATTTTTTTTTTAGAGAGAGAGAGGAAAAGAGAGAGGGACAAACATTGATCAAGCCCAAAACCCCAACATGTGCTCTGACCCAGAATCAAACCAGGACCTCTTAGTCCATGGGACAGTGCTCAATCCACTGTGCCACACCGGCCGGGCAGTATACTAGATTTTAATGTTAGGAAAAGGTCAATTGTGAGCCTGAAGGAACTAGGAATTGTCCAGAAATGAGAAGACAAGTGACAATCACGTAACAAGGTAAAAGAAACATAATCACCAACTAACCTGCT